GTCTCAACTTCTTTATGTAAGAAATTGTTAACTACCCGAAAAATAAGACAGCCACCTTGTGACCCAGGATTCAGTATTTCCTGAAATCAATTTGCTTGGTGAAAGTGCCATAGGGATAGAGTAAAAAGCAGCAGTGCAGTATAAAAAGTAGGCTCGAACAAACTTTGTACCTTTATCAAGACTTGAAACAATATTGTGGTGGAGTAAAACGACTGCATCTGATGTGCTACTGCTGCATTTGTAAGCAAGCAGTTTTTAGTCACCAAACGATTTCAAAGGAGGCTTAAGTACATGCAGAAGAAGTTTCTTCGTAGTTTTCAAAAATGGATACATGAAGTCCATTGGCCTAAACTTTAGACCTGATCCAGAAGATGACTTTAGTACAGGTACCACCTTTATTTCTTTCCGGGCAACAGGTTATGTATACCTGTGAAACTATACATTAAAGGTTTCACTCAGAGGATAACGCAAACTGAGAGCACACTTCTGAAGCAAAATGCTTGACACACCATAGGCTCCGAGGCTGTGTGATGGATTTAAGTATTTGAAAAACGTTAATAGATACTTTTCATTGAAACCAGGGAAATAATCAGGTCCAATAACATCAGCCAGCCGCATTGTAAAAGATCTACATGAGAATAAACATCAACCGAAATTTTTCTGCTTGTCAGTTGATTGAAAAGTTTTTCCAGATGTTAGAATCATTCTTACACGATAAGACTTTTTCATTATATATCCCACTGAGCCTTTGTATTCCTGACTTTATCAGTGAGTTTACTGTTCTGACACCTATATTGTCATACCATTTATGCAGTTTTTCTTTTTGTCACTTGAGCTTTTACAGTTGTGTAGAAGAGATCCCAACGAATCTCGTGTACAGTATTTCAGTAGGAAAGTAAATGTGCAAACACAACTTGAGACAGCAGGTAATATTTTTACAGGTGTGATATGCATTGGATCCATTGACAAAAAGAATATTATCGGGTAACTTAATCAAAGAGGTATAAAACAATATCGTCTTGTTTTTCATTCATTGGGAAATACAAAAACCTTCATTATAATGAAACAGGTATAAAATTCGAAGGTTTAGTCTTTTTCAGTTGGTTGTAACGGACGGATAGCAGAGGCAGTTGTGTAATATTTGCATTTTGCAGAAGACAAACTGTGAAAGATAAATCGGAAGTTCTATAATTCTTCAAATCTGTCATGGAATATATGGACTAATCCTACCGATTCTATTATTGTTCCCCCCCTTGTTCACATATTCATTGTGGCTAAGATGAGGAATTGTTCACGTGAGGTAAGATTTTTTTGTTAATGCGAAGACAATATTTCTATATTTCTTTATGTGCTCCATTGAACGATAATTATCAGAATGCACTCACTAACTGATGTCAGAGAGGACAGCAACCATGTAATTTCACTATAAATCAAATTCATATAATTTAAATAATACTTATCCATGCCTGTACAACTGGTGTGTCCTACACTGATAGGAAATATATATTTTATTTTTAAATCACCTGATATGTATACATCCTTGGATATTTCTCAGTGGGGCCGGAGGTGGTCGAAGGAATACAAGCTCAATCTTTGCATGGAAAGACCATAACCAGTTTCTTCTGAAGGATCGGGAGTCGAGTGTTACAATCATCTGAGGGAAACTGATGCACATATTGTGAATAAAACGATTAGTGGACTTTAATTTTTCCCTTTTTTTGATTTTTTACTACAGCTTGATTCCACACCGTATTTTTTGGCACAGATATGGAATTTTCAGCATGCGATATCGGTAGCCAAAATTTTGCAGGCCGGGAATCGAACCCCAGACCATGTGCATGGTCGGCGAGAGTCCTAACCACTGTAGCCATAAAAAATCTACAACTGTGATTTTTTTCACTGAATTGTTATAAATCCTTTTTAATGTGGATATGTGCTGTTTGACTGTTGTTCTTTTGTAAATATATGCATGTATGTCGATTACCTGTGTCTCTCTTATTTATCATTTCGAGGACATTGCATAGTTAACGAAATTGATAGGCAATGTAGTAATACTTGTGTGGAATGCGTCATAGTTATAAACCGTTATTATTTCCTCAATCTGTCGTCAAGCCTCGCATGGAATGTTTCAGTTACATTTAATCCGGTTGCAGATAGTATAAGCATGCACTAGAGTTAAGAAGAAAAGAGCGTCAAACATGTGTTTGTATTGTAATAACGAAATATAGTAACCCTTTTGAAAAATATTGTCAAAGTTGTAGACCGTTATTAGCCCTTATGTGCGTGCAACATCTCAGTGACATTCAATCCGACTGCGTGAAAGATTACCTTTCATCAGGACTACCGAAAAATTATACGTTGAGCTTATGTTTGTTATGTGATCACTACATATGCATACTAACAAATGTAGGACGGATACGTACATCGAAAATAACGTATTATAGGTATATCCTATTGAAGATAATTATCCTAGTGTTTTTATGCTGCTCAAATTATCACTCTTACAAGGTAAAACATTACGCATTCCAAAACCGGCTGCATCACTATTCCTTCGACAATCAAAGGGAAATAGTATTACAGGAATACCATTAAAACTTTTAAGAAATATTTATTTTGGTAAATAATTTTATAATATCACAAAGATTCCGACGTTGACACACAAATTCTTCAATTGCAGTTCATCAAAGCCTCCAAATAAGGTGAACCATTGCGTAAATTACAATTGCAACCTGCAATGCAACAACAGTAAAACATCTGTTACCAAATAATTAGCGATACAATATGCAAGAAACCAAAGTACTTTTTAGGAAAAACTTTGTTTATTAACTGTTATTTTACGAATAAATAGACTCACACTTCTTTATAACTGTAAAATCTTGTGACCGAATAAACCCGGTAATAGTACTAGGGAAGCTACAGAGCCTCACATTTGGAAAGTCCCCAGGTTGTGATGACATCAAGCCATCTGTTCTGAAACAGTGCGCCGAAGCTCTCTGTAGGCTCTTATGAGACTTGTTCCAACACTCAATGGATTCGGGAAACTGCCAAGAGGGGGTAGAAGAGACTTATTTTCTGCGATCTTCAAGGGTGGGGATAGGCTAAATGCCAGTGGCACAAAAAGTACTGGAAAATATTATTGACGACCACATCAGCATTCACCTCGATAGGTCTAACATACACCATGAAGCCTAAATCAGTTTCGGGAAAGGTGGATCCTGTGTAACAAACCTTCTATCAGCTTGAGACGACTGAACATAGTGCTGGGATATGAATGTTACAGTCCATGTGGTCTTCCTAGACGTTGAGATGGCATTGAACACTGTTCACCATGACCTTCTCCTACACAAAATAAGTTAGGCAGGTATAGATAAGCCACTTCTGTCATGGTTAAAGGACTACCTAGCTGAAAGGAAATTTTGCACTAAGGTCAACCGAGTCCGATCATCTTGGCACAACTCGTTATCAGGAGTGTCGCAGGGTTCTATTCCAGGACCACTGATGTTCTTGATTTTTATCAATGATCTACCATGCCGTCTAAGCTGCCCGACTCTTCTATATGCTGACGACGTGAAGATATGGAGGGCGATAAAGTGCCCGTAGGACTCAGATAGGCTACAGGTAGATCTGGAAGACTGGGCAGTGGCCAGTGGCATGACTTTCAACCTGAAAAAGTGCAAAGTAGTGAAGTTACGCACCTGTAGTCTGCAGAATGCAAGTTACACCCTGTGCAATGAAAGCTTGTCCTGCTCAACGTCGGAACGTGACTTAGGTCTAGTTCTAACGGAGAAAATGGACACAAGCGTAAATTACACGGGGGATGTAGCGAGGGCATATGCGGTCATACATTTTACACATAGACAATTAGGTGCACTCACTCCTGAGCTCTTTCTAAAGTTGTATAAAACATACGTCAGACCGCATCTTGAAGTGCATAATATCATTGCACTCCCACTGCTTAAAAGAGACGCCAACCTCTTGGAAAGAGTCCAACGACGGGCAACAAAAGGAGTGGTTGGTCTCCGAAATAAACCGTATGATGAAAGGCTGAAGAAATTAGGCCTATTCACACTTAGTTGCCGTTGTCTTAGGGGGGGATTTAATTACTGCCTACAAAATAACAAATGATCAGAATCACCCAAACAAAGGTGTTCTGCCATTGAGTAGGTATAGGCTTCCCTGTGGAAATCCTAGAAGGATGACCCACCAGAAAGCAAGGACCTGGGTGCGCTCCCACTTCTTTTCCCTGGAACTCCTTACTGGGAGAAGTAACTATGGCACCATCTGTGGACCCCTTTAAGCGAAGGCTGGACAATCATGCAGCGACACAAGGATTGCGTCCAAATGGCCTGTCCCCTTAAAATCCTATACACCATTCAGGGGTAGACAACTAAGTTCCTCGCTTTACTTCTTTACATTCTCTTCAGTCTTACTCTCCTGACAGCTCTAACTACTACACTTATTACTAATACTGATATTATATATATCAAACTGTCTGTTTAACGTTTCTTTTCTTTTACTGTTTTTTAGTCTGAATAACCTACACTAATTATATCTATTATTATTATCTCTTCTTTTGACGGCGATACCGGAGGACTAACTGGTGAAAGGATCAGCTTCATTCACAGTAGTAAAAGCCTTAACAAACCGCATACTACAAACGACATACAATTAATCCCAGCACTATTCTATTTGGGGTCAACCAAAGCTACGACAGTCGAGTGGCTGGATGAACTACGCAGAAGTTTACCGAAGACCAGGGAAACCTTACCTCACAATCAAGAGGCGAGCACAAAGAAATCAAATTAGTTTATGCTAGTTCGTAAAAACGATATTGGATATTGGAAGGGCTGCAAAGCATTCATGTCCGTTCGTATACAGCATTTTAAAGCCAATAGCTAGGTTATTTAGAAGCGCATGCTTTGAATCTTTGTTTGCGGTTGTTGCGGCAATTGGTAAAAACCGTAGAGAACTGGTAATATTAGAGATCTATTTTGTCTAGCATGCATGTTGGGCATAAGCTGGTTCATAATTCACATTCTAAGAGTATTTCTTCAGAGAAAGTTGCCAAACTTCACCAAGCTATATTTGGTATGAAAAAAAATGTAAATTTCATAATTTAGGTAAACATTCCATTTCATCGAGTACGCCTAATAAACAACCAACTAAGCTTGAAGTTCAGAGACCCACGGCCTCCAATGACTTGTCTGAACTTGGAGAAATGTTCCATCTCACTCCAAAAATCTCCATCAACCCCTCCAATCATTTGGACATAGATAATTCACATGATGATATAATCAAGTTTAATCCTGTTTATTCACCAAAATCCGTCATAAGCTTGAAGAAGAATGGCCAATCTAGCTATGGGATTTTGCTTCGTCGTGGATTATTGACCCACCGTTTGTGTATTTTTGACAATGGAATAATTCTGGAAGATCGTACTGAAGTAAGTGTTATGAAACAGATTAAATCTGTTGATCTACTTTGTGGTGTTTACTCATGATTGTTTTTGCCAGTGGCAGCTAGAACAGGTGTAATTTATATCCTGGCTGTTTCACACCTATGTAGATCTTGAAAATGAGTATCTCTGGTTGCCTTCTTACTATCGTCTATGCAGTCATTAGGTAAAGTTTTTGTGTTTCAGTGTTTATAATTCAGACTCATTAGCTTTAAATGTTCACCTAAAAGTAATACTGTAATAATTTCCCACCACTGAGTATCGCAGAAGATAAGGGGAAAGATTTGAGGGAGATTGTAGCCATAGATAGTAAGAATGACGGACAAATACTTTAGATAGACAAACAACCGTTGTTCCCCTTCACTGCAAGCCATTTATGCTAAAATTATTATGTATGATTTCATTCTCTATCGGTTTATCGGGTTCACATATTTTGGAAGAAAACAACGATGATTATCCGATGAAGATGAAGTATGTGTTCTCTTGTAGTTCGTACAAATTTCTTAATCATGTGTTTAATCTGTCTTTAGGTTCTTCTAACAGAATGTGACAGGCAGAATTCTTCAAATTGTTTCCTACCGGGTGATTACCTTGTTGCTGTTGGCGATGAACTTGTGAATTCAATGGCTCGGAATGAAGTAGTTCAGCTGATTCGTTGCTGTGGTCATAGTCTGTGCTTGACTGTCCAACTTCTTCCCGAATTTCTTGAATTTTACTTTCGTTTAGTCTTTGCTCACAGTTCTGACTCCCCAAATATAAAAACAAGTCCAAAATATGTACAGGGTGATTCCCGATGCATTATTCTCGTCTCTGTGAGGAATTATGTTGTTAAATATGGAAGCTTCAAGAATTTGTACATACACTTGCAACAGGTAAATATTTGTTTCATTTGATTGTCATTATATTGGCATTTCGGCTTACACTTGCTGATGTTTTTGAACATTTGAAAATATAACGAGCAGTGATATTATTTGATGATAAGTAGTTGGTTTCTAAATCATGCATCATAAGGAATTTCTTTCCTAGAAATCTCTCACAGAGCTAAAGGTGAAGTATTAGTATATGTTGTTTAATTCAGTATACTGTAAACACATTTACGTTTCAAGTATTGGTTTGGTAGGGATTTTGTTTAATTGCACGGAGGATTTCATCATGAGCTGACATCAGTTAGAGAACCACTGGAAAACCTGGGAGTACTGGACAGTACTCCCAGGTTTTCCAGTGGTTCTCTAACTGATGTCAGCTCATGATGAAATCCTCCATACATTTACGTTTATTATATCCAGTTTTTGATATTGTAGTGTGGTTCATTATTGACATAATTTTGCTGATCAGTAAACTGCCAAATAACTTTAGTTAACTATTTCGATGAGCAGTGGGAATGCTCAGTGAAAGTCTTGTTTGTTTCCTTCAACATACAGTCGGTTGTACTTAGTCTTGGAATATCACACAACTGTGTATTAATTGTGCTTTACCTAACTTACCTAATATAAATTAATATCTTCAGATAAATCTAGCTATGTTATGACTTACGACTGTTTGAGATTTGTTGTAATAATGACAACTTTCTAAGAAAAAAATTCCGCCTAAACTTTATACATTTGTTCTCAAAGCAATTAAAACACTCTGATGAATGTTTTGATGATTTTCCATTATATTACCTAATTTTTGTATGCCCTCTACTGTATTTATCACAGGTTACCTCTCATGTTTTTCTTTGAACTACATTGCAAAGCCTGTTGCACTTGGAATAATAAATACAATAATGAGAGTTTCGTGGCTAGAATAGCTGTTGCAAATGCTGAGCCACCAAATGACACAGGATTAGGTTGGAGACGAGTTAGAATTCGTCCAAACAAAATCTAACATAAATCCATGAAGTCTTTGATTGTTAGTTTTAGCCAGACATACGAAGGTGTAGGCTGCTCGGCTGGAGTTCTCGAGATTCTAATAACCAGCGGCTAGAGGCTCTTGGTGATATGGCTCAAAACGGTTCTCAGTGACCCAGATGCATTCACTCTTTATAAATGAAATTCTCATTTTCCGTTGTCGTTATTCTTTCTTCCTCACATTTATTATTCTTGTAGTTCTTTTGAATATCTTTTCCCCCCTCTTTTTTCTCTCTCTTTGTGTGGGATGTGGAGTGTGATAACTCGAAGTGCTGCAATTCTATGGAGGGTTTTGTGTTGAAACTCAGTCGGTTGGTCAGTAATAGTTTAATAATATCTGCAGATTTCGGTGACTGACAGTGTTCAACCTGAAAACTCAAAAAGCGATTCGATTATACACCAACTATATATATATATATATATATATATATATGCAAACGCACACCACTGAATTATTTCATTTTGTTCTATCTAATATTCTTATTGACCATACATGTTTTAAATGGTAATCAAAACTAACTGACTATTAGTCCATTTTGTAATCGCAGTACAATTCCCTTTCCGATATAATTCTAATTTGCCTTTTACTGGCTACTGTATGCTAAAATTAATGGATGTAGAATTGTAGATCCTGAAGAAGAATTCATTGAAAACAATCATTTACTCTAATTATTCTTGTTTTGAATCAAGAATTAGTTAACGTCGTGGGAAGTTGTTTTGATGTCACTTATTCCGACATCTGTATTGACAAATTTGTGTGCATAAAACTAACAATAGCTTCAAGTTTAAACCATATAGTTAAGAAAACGCAAAACTGTTAAAATCATATGCAATTCTCTAGGCAAAATCAAATATTCCTTATGAAATCAGGAGGGAAGTATTCTTAATTTTCCCAGCATCAATTGTTTCAACAAGCCGATGATCTTCTTTTGGAAATTGATATCACTTCAGAGACACCAGGTTTATTGGTTCAGACGATTGTTACAAATCTCCTCTTAAGGGTATCGATTCTGCTACTCTCTTGAAAGTATAATAGAGATGGGCATAAAATCATGGTAGTGAATTGTTGTTTTTTCTGTATAAATAAAAATCAATTTGTTGTAAAACTCAGTCATAAGTTTCCAGTATTATTATTATTATCATCGTTCTTTTCGGTGCCGAGTGGAACATAAGGCTTAAACGGCTCAACTGCACTTTGTCCTGTTCACTGGGATCCTCTCTAGCTGGCCCAACTATTGCCCATTTCATCTAATTTCCTCATCGCACGACTTACCTCATGTCACCCTTAGATGTTTCACTTGTCGTTTCCCAATCGGGTTCCACTCGAGCGATGGACTGGTGCGTGGTGTCATTCGACGGTCTCCTCACAGCCTGTGTCCGATCCATCTGCATTTTCTTCGGGATATTTGCTAAGCAATAGGTTCTTGGTTGGTTTGTCTCCAGAGTTTTTGCTGCTAATTCTATATGGTTGGCCTTTTGATCTGCACTATGGAGTCAGTTAAGGCAGCTGTTGATAAGACTCTGCAGTAGCCAGTTAGAAATGCTTTTCATGACGTGTGTGTGTGTCAAGTTTCTGACCTGTTTAGACGGACTGACTCAACTTTAATGTTTGAAAATCATAATATTTTGTTTATGTTTTGGAGTGGAGAAGGTTTCCAAAGTGATTTTAGAGTGATGAAGGTTTGACTTGCCTTTCTGATTCAGGCTTTGACATCCTCATCCGTACCGACTGCCTGTAGTTGAAACGATGCTGTCTAGATAATTGAAGGAAGTAACCTCTTTCGAATTTCTCCCGTTGGTAGCGATTCGTGCTTATTCTTGTTGGTTGGTTATCTGTATCACCTGCATCTGCTCAATGTCCACTTGAAGTTCTGTCTTTACTACTTCTCCGGCCGCTTTATTTGTTTTCGTCTGTATGAAACTAGATGTTAATCATCAGCGAATTCCAGGTCTTCTAGGGTCTTCTTGGTGGTCCAAGGTATTCCTGTCTTCTCGCTTCGCACTCATAGCTTTCTGCATAATCCAGTCCACTACAATTAGGAATAAAATCAGCGATAGTAGACAGTCTTATCTTACTCCTATGTTCACTTTGAACACTTCTCTGAGTTTTTTTTGTTGTAGATGTTTTCAGTATTATTTAGGCATAAAAACTGCAAAATGTAATTGGTGGGGTTCCGAATGTTAAAAATGCTTCAAACTGAATTGAATTAATGTTTATATTTCTGGAGGGGGAAGGAGGTTAATGTCGTACAAATCATATCCATCTCTGGAAAAGTGATTCATTCACTTGACCATGTTTACCTGATAATTTTTTGATGTTGTCTTATCTCCTTTTTTTCTTATCCACATACTTACTCTAAGACTTCAGTCTATCGCATAACTTAAATTCCAGTCATTAGATATATTTACCATTCTCCCTAAATAATTGAAAATTAACTTCAGTGAATCAATAGGCAAGAATGGTGTATCTCAATTGCGAAGCGAACAATAATTTCATGTATGACCCAGTGCATTTTAAGGTGAATAAAGTAATTGTGTGGTAGTTTACTTTTTTTCTGTCTGCAGCATACACCGGAGCTGATAATTATTTTCGTTAAGATCACTTTTTTTCTAAAATACTTTATTTTTCTCCTTAAGCAAAACTGAAATACGTTTAACAGAAGCGTACTACTTGTATTTAATATAAGTAGTGTCATTACAAATGTAAAACATATGTAACGAAAGTATTAGTGCATCACATATAAAACAATATTAGGGGAACAAATGAGGTGTTCTGTTTGTTTATTTTTGTTGTTGTTGTTTTTTGAGGCTAGGTAATGAAATTTCATACACATTTAAAGTGTAAACAAAAGTTTTATTTGAGATTTGTTTTTTTGGACTCAGTTTTAAGAGGAACCCTTTTTTTTCTGGTTATATTTTTGTTTGCTTTGTTGCCTCATTATAAGGTGTTTCATAAACATATTTAACTTAAAGAAAAGGTTTGAAGTTAGTCGAAGTGTTACTCAATTCCAGCTTCTAAAGAATTCGCGTGTGCATATTTATGTATTTTGGTGGCCCAGTGGTAGATTGTTTACCAGCCACGGTATGGTCAGGGTTCGATTTCCCACCGATTTACTCCTAAAGCCTGCCCAGTTTACCAGTTTGTAGTAAGTCCGGTAAAGAGGGGGAGGTTGAGCAGGAGGTTGAACATTTCTACATTTCGTGAAAGACAACACTGCCGTTGAAATTTCAGAAGTTTGGAGCTCTTATGTTCCACTCGAAATATATATATATATATATATATGTATATATATAAACATGTGGAGCTTATGATCTTAACAACATAGTACTATGTGGTTGACGAGAGAGAGAGTGAATAAAACAGATCAAAGATTGAAGCTAATTATGACTTTTAGTATCCATCTTTACCACTGTAACCTGTCCGTTGGTATATCAATTCAATAATACATTATGTCTTAGGAATATGTTTTCGGAAGTTACGTACAAGTGATAACAGTGGCTCTTTTTTCTACATATGTTTTAACAGATTTTCAACTATAGAAAATGTTAGTTTATATGTTTAATTTTATTTTTATATTTTCCGTTAATTGGTTTATATTGAATCGAGATATTCAGCCTCTATTGAAATGTCGGCTCGTCAGCTCCTAGTACGGATAGTGTGACGATGTTTTGAGGGCTAATAAAATTAATTTAAACAAATAATAACTGCAACCCGTAGCCCAAGTAATCTGATGAATAACGCTTTGACGTTTGAGACGATGGGCGCTGGGTTCGAGTCTCATTTGGAATATTTACAAGCATTAGGAGGGTGGGAAATAGCAAGTACATCCAGCTGATGAGTCCCTATTGCGACATGAATTGTAATGCTAGTTACCATTCACTTATTCAGTTAATTTATGTGAAAATTCTGTTACTTCCTCCCGTTTCTTTTTAAAAGGAAATACGCTCAGCAAAGAGTTACTCCTCTCAGCGATATCATTCCC